GGAGGGTAGGAGGAGGAGGAGGAGGAGGAGAGAGAGAGAGAGAGAGAGAGAGAGGAGAGAGATCAGATTTGGGGGAAAACTTATTTTATAGACCACTAGGGCCTAGGGTGTCCCAATCAAATTAGGAGTTCAACTTGATCTATAGTTATTTAGGTGATATGTGAGATGCGAGAGAAAATTAATTTGAGCCGTCCACTGAGATCGGCCATCATAATTTAGAGAGGATATTTAAAAACCGTATCCCCCGAGATTTGAGCCATATCCACTTCTAATCCATCTAGAACTTTGACTTGATCAAATATTCTAAATAACAAGAAAATCAATAAGACAACCATATCCAAAACATTTCCACTAAGAAAATATTATTTATAATTTAAAACATTATATTAAAACATGCCACACATAAAGTGGGCGGCCCTCTGTGTGGGACGTGTGGCCCATAATGGGCCCCACATTCAACCCCGCACATGGATTCCACACAATTTAAAAAACCAAAATCCGAAATTTCATAAATATTTGTATTATGGAGAATTATAGAAATACCTTTGGGGGGTTTTCACACATTTAAAATTTGTTTTAAAATACTGAAAAACGCCCCAAAATCATAGAAACATATTTTTAGTTGAAATCAATATTTCTGGAGTTTCATAAAAATCTAAAACACACTAAAATACAACTTAGAAGTGGATAGGTACCTAATGGGTAAAAAATAAGTCAATATCAAGACACTCCACGTACCAGAATCCATGATCCACTATTGTCTTCTCAAACTAACCCAACAAAACTCATGACCCACAGTCAATTATAGGGGTTCATGATTAGCCCATCAAAGTTAGCCAATAAACAATGGAACTACTATCTCAGTATGTGGACTATAGGTCCCCCCCTAAGAGCAAGTCAAATGCACACACAACACAAGGGGGACAGTCTCTCTATGCATATGTACGTGTCCCTCTATATAATGTTGCTTACCAAAAATGCGGTTGTCAAATGTACATTTTGTGCAAAAGTTTTGTTGAAAGAATGGCCCTCACTCTCACAAGCACTTCCTCCTCACACAAGAGGCCAAACAGCTCTCCTAGCCTAACAAACAACATCTATGGGCATCTCTTCTACCTGAACAAGAGATGACCCATAATAAACCCTCAACGATAGTGCCACATGCCCAGGTATAAAGAATTTGGACATGACTTGAGCCATAGACCGATCAATCCTAAGTCACTCAACCACAATAATCTCCCACTAAAGTGCACAAATCACTATAAAAATTTTATTTACATGCTCTATTGGCCTTTAAAGGCCACAAAACCCAACATTGAGGTCATACCCTCAGTTAGACCATTCTCTCAGTAATTATTGATTGCAGCACACTTTTTAGCCTATTCCTTACACATATAGAGACACTTTGTAAGCTGCAATTTATAAAATACAGCCACAGTAAAAAAAAAGAAAAAAGTCAAATTGTAAACTCTCTCTCTCTCTCTCTCTCTCTCTCTCTCTCTCGTACGTCGTAGTACGTACTACTACACACGACACGACAACCGAACCGAACGACGTACGACGTACGTAGTAGTAGTAACGTAGTAACGTTAACTAACTAAACTAAC